TTCTGGAGTCCGCCTTCAAAAACCTCAGGTATGTGATCAATACAAAAATATGTCGATGTTCCATTGCCAACACGATTAACTGATGCTAATAATCGCTTATATTCCAAATTCCACCCTTTATAACATCTAGATTTTATCTTGTATCACGGAACATCTTGATCGATATAATTTTTACCAAGATAAACTACTAACAGGATAATATAGATTCAACTGTAGCAGTTGTGTTCTTATATACTAAATTAAATTCTCCTTAAACACATTGTAAAACTCACAAATAAGGCTTCATATAACCATTGGCTTTGGTTTAAAATGTCCTGTACCAAGTCAGGAATATGGCAGTTGTTATCACATAGTCCGTGTCTATGTTCAATGATGTATGTTGGCGTTTGTTTTGTGCAGTTAAGTGTTTCTGTTGTTCCGTTTTGTTTCCTCTTATGGTTGATGTGTTTCCGTCAGTTTTGGTTTGTGACCCGGATTTGTTTCAGTTATATCGATTTATGACTATGGAACAGCAGTATACTAGTATTGCCCTTATTTATACCTATGTTTTTATTCGTATAGTTCAACAACTAATTGCGGTAAAATAATTCCTGAATGTATCATAATGAATGTGTGTCTTCCTAATGACATTCACACAGGCTGAACTAAACTGCTCGTACATTTGATAGGAACTATCAAACCATTTAATACCCTCATGATGTTATGGGAGTTCCACGACGACAGAACACAAGTGCAAACAAGAATATTAATGGCAATAACTTTAACAAAAGAATGATGTTTGAACTGGGCATACGTAGTAGTGATCTCTGTGTACTATTTCTAGCTTTATTTTGTATTCTGTTTTTAGATATTGATATCAAAAGGATAAGACACTCACAAATAACGTATATTCAGAATTTAAAGAATAATAAAGTATGCGGGATTTAAAATGAGAGAATGTGGTATGATTGTCAATGGGACAACTCTCTAACATAGATCAAGTGACATAGAATTTAACAACTATAGGTCACCGAACGGTTTTCAATTATGGTCATTACAAATATCAACAAAATGCTAATGTACATGACATCATCTGTTGCAGTTTAGATTCCAAATCCACTTTTGCCTGGTCCCTTTGTTGTAACTTAATTTGTAAGTTAACAGTTTCAGTTTGCAAAGTTGTAATCTAGCCGTCTTAGTTTGTAAATTTGCAGTTTCAGCTGCCTGTTGTTGTATAAAAGTAGATTGGGAAACATCGGTCTGTTTAATTTCCTGTATAGCTGATTTCTATTCTTGGATATGTAGATATATCTGTTGGTTATCCGTATACCTTGGATCTGTTAAGATAAAACGCTTTTGTTCGTGTATGGCAAACATCTGTCAAAATGATATATTATAACGATCAATAAGTATATAACAAACCCAGCCATCATTTTATTATTGTACGAAGTATTAGATTTGTTTTTCTGATCTGTATATTTACAAGTCGTTCAATACAAAGACCGTTCAATACAACCTTTGCAATTTGAGATTAAACATGCACTGTTTTTGTCTTGTGAAATGACATTATATCGAAATATATTAAACAAGGAAATGTTCACTTTTCATTTGTTTTCCATCAATCAATTGTAGTAGTTTTGTATGGTCTTCTCTAGGAATATGTATTAAATATTTGTTCCTGGACACGCAAACATATCTCGTTAAAGCCCTGTACAAGAATTTGACTATCGAAAAATAGATCAAATTTTATATTTATCTTCAAACTATTTTGTATTTACATTTTATATGTATAAGAACCAATTTCAATTATCAAAGCATAGAAGCATAACCGGATATATTGCGGAATTCATTGATGGTGAAAATATTAATCCTGAAGTTAATTGTATAGCTGTCGTGGGTTGCACATTTATAATCTACTTGATATTAATTCATGTGTGGAAAGAAGAGTTACAAGATATACCACATTTCAAATCCAAATCTTAATCTACGAAACATTAGCACAAACAATACTGTGGACAAGAATAAAAAACAAAAATACACGCACCATGGATACGTTTAGAATTTTTGGTAAATAATTGTCATTTATAACTAGTACATTATTTCCCTTTGGCAATATATATTGTTTTCTTTCCGAAAATGGAATAAAACATTTGCAGTCTTTTGCTTATGGTACATATTTGCTTTAATTGACTTTAATACAATTGATTTTCCACTCAGTCGTTGTCGAACCAACCCCAAAAACTAAACTAAACTAAACTAAACTAAACTAAACTAACATAAACTAACCTAAACTAAACTAACCTAATCTAAACTAAACTAAACTAAATACCTCTAGAGATCAGCATACCATCTTTAACAATAGACAGGTGTTTTTACATTATGTCGAATCCTAAATCGCCTCTATTCTAGATTGAGTGTAGGTGCAGTTTTATAATATGATACTGGTTAGTTACTGACATTTTATCTGCATTGTACAAGTGCTATTGTTGACCTAGTCGATATATATTCGCCCTACATTGCTCCGGTACTGGAAAACTCTTTTTCATTGTTGGTAGAGCAGTGGTTTACTTTGCCATGGTTCCCGGGTTCAATCTCCGGCTTGTACAGTGATAATTGTGGAAGTAAAGTAATTATAATGGTTACTGCTTTAGTCACTTTAAGGCAGAAAGATTATATGACTTTTGGTAACTGTGGGAAATAAATGATACGTTTGTCTATTTTTAAATAATATTCGGATTTGAGCGTTCGTGGTGAAAGTAAATCCAAAAAACAGCTTCACGCATGAAATTATAAAACTTGGTTTCATGTTTTATATCAGTGACAATACATAACTATCCACAAACAATATCAAATTAAAAAATATAATGAAGTTGAAAGCGCACAATAATGTGGTATGATTGCCTGTTAGACAACTATCCACCAGAATTCAAATGAAGTGGATGTAAGCAATTATAAACAACCGTATAAACTGTGTATTTGTTTTTAGATATGCATAATTTATTAAAGATATATAGCAGAACATTTTAGGTTAACTCTAACAGTCATGTCTTTTTCCTGAGTCCACTTCCTAGCAATAAGAAATATAAATTAACTATAATATATATACCAGTTGTTCCCCTAGCTTTATACAGAGTAACAATTTGTTCTCTATAATGAGTCCTTCTTTTCCATTTCCAAAGCTTATTCCTTGTAAAATGGCTTAAATTTGGTTTATTTGCATAATTTCTATTCAAAGATCGACAATGTCTAGAATTTACGTTCTAAAGTGGCGTTCAGAAACCATCAATAAATCAACCAATCTTTTCAGAAAGCCCATGTTATCTAGTTTTTTGTAAATACTGTACACCAAGGTAACATAGAAATCATTATATTATTTTAAGAAGCTATATTGTACACGTTCCAGGAATTTATACTAGTCTCATGAAAGGGGGCGTACTTCGAAACAAGTGGTTGGAGGCCGAGTGGTCCAAGTAGTTCATTTACAGCGGTCACCAGTCTGCCAAAATTGAAGTTGTGGGTTCAAATCCCACTCAATCTCAATTCACTAGAATTGCGAGTTTTCCTGCCAAATGTCTGTTGTTCTCTTTGTGTACACCGCCTTCCTCTTACCAATAGGAATTTGCCGCCATGATATAGCCATGAGTGCATTAAAATTGCGTTTAACACCAACAACCAATCAAACATTCAATAAAGCAATCAATCGAAATAATACATTTTGAAATTAAAACTTTATTATATCCAGATCATTTGACACGGTTTTAAGCTTTGATGGTAGCTCATTTTACCAAAAGCCTTCGTTCTTTGTGTATTATTCATATATGTCTGATTTTGTTTTTATTGCACCTAATCCGATGCCTACTCTATGTATTGTCCCTCTTCTCACCATTTTAGGGTTCGGTTTAGAATTAATTTTCTTGATTGTTTGTACAATTTTGACATTCAAAGGAAATAAATGGACGGTTGGATAGGATTGGAAAATTCATTGTTTTATTAAAAAGGGATAGCCGGGGTGGAATTTAATGTGGTGACTATGTACAAGATGAAAATAAATAATAATATTGCCCAGATAAGGATGTAAATGCCGGATATATTAGTGTACCTTAAATGAGTTTATTATGACGGGATAACCGGGGTGGGATTGGATATGGTGACCATATAGAAAATGAAAATGAATAATTAATATTGGCCAAGTAAAGATGTAAATACAGAATATATTAGTGTACCTTAAATAAAAAACGCCTTTACCATGGCAACATGTTGAAACGATTATTCCGTTCACAACATAATCTGGCCTCCCCTAAAACAATAAATTGACGTTTACCAAAATATATTACAGAAGAGAAATATCTACAGTATTAAGATTGATATATAGCTTATATTTTTAAGGGATATTATCAATTATTAGTCATCCATGAGCCTCACATTTTTGTAAAATTCGGTACCATGGCTTTGTGATCTCATATATTTTTGATAGTCACTTATCTACTGTTGAATTCTGTTTGTTGACCTTAAGGCGTCTTTTATGATTAATTGTGCAGTTGGGGTGCTGTCTCATTGACATGATTGACGTGAACTTACATGTCAACGCGCAAAAATAAAATTGTTGACATTTCACCAACATGATAATGCTTGACCTAAAATTTTTCAAGTCTTCTTTTGACAAGTTTGTACAAACATTGTTTTAACCATATATCTACACAAATACAATCCGAAAAATAAATCATCACATTTCATACATAAATATTGCACAACAAGACCTGTTCTCCACAATTAAAAAAACTTTTATTCATTTCTTCGCTGCGCTCACTCGCCAATAGAAAATAGTTTTTTATTGTAATTCGTAGTTGATATTTTACAGAATCAAAATGCAGAAAATCTGATAATCGGTTCATACAAAATCCAGTTTTTTATTCAAAAAATTTTAATTAAATGATACCGTTTTGAAAATCCTAACAATATATATGTAACATTATTTCAATATAAAATATAAGCAAATAACAATAAAGTAGATCAACATAACTTTATTTTGAGCAAACAACGCAGTTGAAAATACTGTTTTGTACATAAGGAGGGCACTTGAGAGATCCACAATAAGCCTTGACTGGGAAAAGGATATATCCATTATCATTCTGGACTCCTGCTTCTAGAACCTCAGGTGTGTCATCAATACAAATATATGTTGATGCTCCATTGTCAACACGATTACCAGATGCTAGTAACCCCTTATATTCTAAATTCCATCCTTTATAACAACTTAATTTTCCTGGTACCATGAAGACAGATGTTACGTGAATAGCCCTACAAACAGCACATGGAACATCTTTATCGTAAAGGTTATTACCAAAAACTGCATCGTTATATTCCATGCCATAGATCGTTGAGAACCCACCAGTAGAGCTAACAGGTCCAAGGTCTGGATCATGAGGGACGCACACTGGAGTCGCAGATCGACCTCTATTGGTCAGAAAACCTCCACCGCCTATACCTTTAAATATATGAAACAAAAACGACAGTTACTGTAAACAACTGCTCGTTTTCAATTGGTATTTTACGTTGGTGTTTGTTTTTACTTATTTTTCCTAATGCAGTCATATTTTTACGGATTGTCAATTTCTGCCAGGTTTCATCGGCCATCAAGACAAGTCATTTTAGAATTAATATTATTCAGTTTGTTTTTATAAAACAAAAAGTTTCCATTGTAGTGACAACTTTATTGACTCTTCATTGAAAATTGTGTGCCGCCTTTTATTGCTTTGTTCAAGTTAGCTGTCATCTTGTTGATGTTGCATGTTGCAGATGTTTCTTTGTGTGTTATATACTGTTTGACATATTGTTTATTTATAGAAAAAAGTAGGAAAGAGAGGAGGTGCGCATCTATAAATCACAAATATGTGTCTGTACCTAGTTATGTTATCTCGATCATGTTTTGTTATTTGTTGTCGTTGTTTGTACTTTTGAAATGAAAACATCGGATGCTAGTTAGTTTAGTCTGCTTTAGCATTGAATATTTTATGGTAAAACCTGTTATCATTTTACTGTGCTATTAAAACGTAAAACAAATGAATAGACGTTATAGTTCCTTCTTTACAGACATCAACTAATATAAGGACAATGTTTAACAGGGATCAAATCAAACCTGAATAAACTAGTTCCGTTCCATTTCTGGTACACAATTTTCTTCCCCATTGTATATAGACTGATCCTGTTGGACCTGAAAAATAATAATCAAATCATTAAAGCATATATCCATTTTCTTAAAGCACATGCACCTACATATCTGCATTTAAAAAAACAACATTCAACAGAATTCTTTAGAACAAACGAATACAAATAATCCCTTTCTAATTTGCCGACTTTCCAATTTGTTAACTTTATAGCAAAGGGAATCAAGTAGTTGATATGAAAACTTGATCCCTGTCTGTTCAAAGCTAATGACGCAAGTTTCCCGTGCATCATGGGATCTGATAATTATTTTGACTTCTTAAGTGCATCACATATGGATAAAAGTGGTCGTAAAACCAGCAAGCTATAAAGGCCCCGAGGTGAAAACCTTGGACACAGATGCAACAGAACAACACAAGAACAAAGAGGGACGAAAGATACCAGAGGGACAGTCAAACTCATAGATCGAAAACAAACTGACAACGTCATGGCCAAAAATAAAAAGACAAACAGACAAATAATAGTACAGATGACACAACATAGAAAAACTAAAGATTAAGCAACACGAACTCCACCAAAAACTGGGGGTGATCTCAGGTGCTCCGGAAGGGTAAGCAGATCCTGCTCCACATGTGGTACCCGTCGAGTTGCTTATGTTATTACAAATCCGGTAAATAGTCTGATTCGGTAAGTCACATTCGTGAAAAGGGAAGGGTATTGTAGTTACGACATAAGGAACATATCCGATATCATCTGTGAAACGGTTATTCCATAACGGTCAACCAACTTGTGATGGCGTCCGTAAAATTTACGAAGGGATGACTTCAACTTCACCATTTGGAACTCTTGGTTTAATAGCTTCCTTGGGAGCAGCAATCCTCTATCAAGGAAATCATGATAGGAAACACAATCCCGGGAATATCGTATCAATTGGGAGATATACGAGATATGGGAGATATGGAACAACCTGTTCAAAATAACAAACGAAAAACTAATATAACAATCAGCAACACAGTATGTTCTAAAATTAGAAGAAATAGATACCTTTGTAGAGGTTTTAGCAACATTATATGTTCATCCTTATATAGCACAAACATTTACCTCATAAAAATGTGACGCAAATCGACCACTTTAATAATTTGTTGTAATTAACAATTCATTGAACGACATATACCTAGCAAAGTACTTTTAACATACAGCTTGTTCACCAAAGGTACGATGAATTTATCAAATATAACTTACTGCAAAGGGTAATTTTACTGCCTAGAAAATACATGAATTAAACAACAGACTTCTAAAACCATCCGTCAATACTGCACCCAACAAAACTTCACCAAACCAAAAAGATAACAAAAGACAACAACTGACAAGGGTACTGACTTGAAATAAGCACACGAACTTCTTGTTTATGTACAACCTCCCATATCTAATCTAGACAAATAGAAAACTAATAGTCTATACAGTTACAAAATGTGAAAAACTAATTGCAATATAAACTTTTAGAAGTATCCAAATGAATGTATCTTTCTGATGACATGTGCACAGACAACTACTTGACGTTTGGAACTAAGTTGAGGACTACTCGAGGACATTTAATGCACATGGAAACCACTGAGTCCTCAATGACGTGTTGGAATTTCACTAGCGACGGAGCATGATCGAGTAGCAGCAAGAATATAACTAGCAATACAATTTTTACAAAATTAGCAGTGGGAATATGCAGCAGTGGTCTCAGCGTATTTTGTACGCATTTGCTTTTAATTTTTAATTCCTTTAGTCTGTTTTTTAAAGAGCAAGTTTTAAATGGAGGATACATACATGCCAAAATAAAAAGCTTAATTTCATAATATGACGAATATTAAAAGTATGCGGGGTAGTGTCATTACAAATATCAACAAAATGCTAACGTACTTGAAATGATCTGTTGCAATTTGGATTCCAAATCCGATTGAGCCTTTTCCCTTTGTTGTAACTCAGTTTGTAAGTTTGCAATGTCAGCCGACTTAGTTTGTAAATTTGCCATTTCCGCCGTCTGTTGTTGTAACTTAGTATTTAAATTGGCAATTTCAGCTGTCTGTTGTTGTATCAAGGTAGACTGGGAAACTACAGTCTGCTTTATATCTTGTGTGGCTGATTTCAACGTCTGGATATCCCGATGTATTTGTTGATTATCCGCGTAATCAGGATCCGTTAGCAGAATACGCTTTTCGTCATGTCTTGCTAAGATTCCTTCATAGTAAAATTCTATAATGATCAGGAACTATATGACAAATCTTGCCATGATTTCTGTCTTATATGCTATACACGATAAAGGATTCTTATCTATATATCCGCAGGTCATTCAATACAACATTTGCTCTTTGAGATTTAACATACACCGCTTGCATAGCCCACTTGTCTTCTGAAATAACATTATATCTTTTTGCTCCATTTGTTTTTCATTAAATCAGTGTTGTTGTTTTGTCTAGTTTTCTCTATGAATATGAATGAAATATTTGCACCAAGATGTTAAACGAACAACACTGACTCTATCTTGTTAATTCAATTGTTTTTTTAATTTCCATTTCTTGTTTTTATCTGGAGTATGTTTATATATAAATGTTTTGATAAAACGAACAACGGAACCTATTTGACTGGGAAATAAGAAAATATAATAATATCATTACGGTGTACAACAAGTTTATATGACAACATATATACTACATATGTAATAGTTGAATATTCATACTGTAACAATAGAAACAATCTGTTCTTTTCAGGCAATTAGGGGTTTTGAGCCTCAAAATGTTTGCATGTTTAGCAGGCGAACTCAATGAACGTCATTACAGAACACATATTGTGTGCACGGTAACTATACCATACTATTTTATTTAACAAACAAAAACATACTTGTTAACCCTTCTACTTTATTGTATTGCAGAAACAAATTTGGAGAATTTGTTATCACAAAAGTAATCTTAAGATATCTGCTTCAATGAATGCATGTCATATATATATATATATTTCATTGTATAAAGTAACTCTTTTACTAATTTTCAGAATATCATCCCCTTAACACACACATTTATTTATTTGAATATCCCTTTTCTAAGGAGTCCATCTTAAGATGTGGAATTGCAGTTCTTTTTTCGTGTCAGTGTACTATTTTTATTTTAGCCTAACAGGAATACGCAATATCGGAAAAAATGAATGAATGAATAAACATGATAAAAGAATTTGTGGAGTATACGCCAATGAGAAAGCAAACCAAAAACATAAAACCAAAAGACATCTAAAAGAAATACAGTGTATTTATTTTCATATCTATTTTCTTATCTCTTAACGTTAATCTACGGAGGCCATAAAGGGAGACATAAACAATAAAACTAATCCATCATCTCGGATTGTTCACGGGTTAACAATGCCAGATAACGGATTAAATTTATGTTATGTGTTCCTTTATGGCTTCCGTTTGCATCCTTACGCGTAGGCTTTCAGTTTTTTTTTCGGAAAGCAACACAACAATTTAGAAAATACAAATAATAGCATATGGGCTCATTGTTGAAGGCCGTACAATGACCTTTAGTTGTTAATTTCTTTGTCATTTGGTCTCTTGTGTGGAATGTGTTGTCTCATTGGCAATCACATCAAATCTTCTTGTTGCGTGAACCCCCTGGGGGGTTCACGCCTATATATTGGCGAGTTTTGGAAGCTTCCATGGGCCATACGATATCCTCGGAAACAAGATTCTCGGAATGTCTCGAAAAGTTTCGATTATTTATACAGGTAGTTATTAATGTCTTTGGTGCGGTCCCTCTATGGATAGGCTACCACGTGACATTGTTTAGTTCAACAATAGAAGTTCATTTGTAGATAGGAAAATAAGAAAAAAAAAGACTCGATCGCAATAAAAATCATTTATATATTGGCACCTATTTGCCTTTTTTCGTAAACTTCATTTGCTTAGATCTATGGAACGCCACATCTGTCTTATGTGGTACTCTGACACTATGTTATGTGGTTTTATTATTACTTGATGATATTTTGTCTTTAAATAATATGGTTTCCACATTACCTAATGATGTTTCGATATTACATGCTAGTGTTTTGTATTGACTTGTTATGGTTTTGTCATTACTTAATATGATTCCCATATTATTTAATGTGGTTGTGTCATTAGGCAATATGGTTTTAACATCACTTGATGTGTATGTTGGTTAACGTTATGTAGTTGCTTCATTGTATGATGTGGTTTGTTATTTCGTAATAATGATTTGTCAGATCTTTATATGGCTTTTACATTACATAATGATGTTTCAAAATATTACGATTTTACACTACATGATGTAGTATTTGATGTGGTTCTGTCATTCTTTGATGTGGCTATCATATTACTTGATGAGGTAAAACCACGTGACAATTTCTGAAAAATTAGTTTTATATTTCTAAACTGATTTCCAGGTCGATGTTTATGTGTTTCGGATCTATCGAGTTAAAGTTCAAATTAAAGTTAGAGTTTTTGTTTAGAGTTATTGGGTATGAAAAAGGGATTGAGAGGCATGCGTACATTATCATTATTATAAGGAATCTGCAGATAAAGATTACAAAAAAGTACTGGAAGTAACAACAATATTTAATAAGGGGCAATTTTTTTCCATAGCTCTCAAATGGAAGCAGTATTATCGCAAATTAGTATTATGTCTCGTCTGCGTTTGCTGCTGTCGGGGTAAAAGTGTAATGTTGACTAAAAAGTCCATTTATCAGTAAAAAAAAACCTAAATTTTATAGAATCCAACTTTTTCTTTAGATGCTTTTATTGATTTTTAAGATGTCTTCTGTCCAACATGTCCAAGTTTTACTTCCATGAAGGTGTTTTTCAAATTTATCATATCAAAAAATTTGGTAAATGTTTAATGCAAATAATCAATATTACCAATAAGACACTCTCCACCAGATACCAAATGACGCAGAATTTAACAACTATAAGTCACCGTATGGTCTTCAACAATAGGCAAAACCAACATCTCATAGTTATAAAAGGCTATGTGACAAATGTAAAACAATTAAAACGAGAAAACTAACTGCAGATGTATGTTCCAAAAAAAAAATAAACCCGTAAAATAAATATGATATACAGCAACAAACAACAACCTCACTTGGGACTAAGTCCATCTATCAGCAAAATACTAAAAAAATGAAGAAGAAAATTTTTTTTAAAAATTTTTACTTTAGACATTATCTCTTTATCATACAAAAAGCTTCTGCCAAGTGAACGTTTCATAAAAAAGCTTGACAAAAAAATTGATGTGTAACAAACTTAACCACAGATTATATCTACTTGTTGACTGCAAAACTAAGTACTTTTATTAGGAAAAATAAAAGTAAATATTTTCAAAATATTGCCCTTGATACCATCTTTTGCTCATAAAAAAGATTACTTATACTTTATTGTCAACAAATGAGACACTTTTCATCAACTCACACTAAAGTTAGAGAGGAAAACGGGGGTCGGACTAAGGTACAAAGCATCAATTCTATAAGAGGAGAATTCTCCGATCTTATTTAGCGTGTATGATCATTTGAGCATATACGAATGTCAATCGTATGTTTTGATAAATCTGGTTCTCTGATATACCACGCACTCTTTTGTAAGATCAGCAATTTGTAATATCTGTTTCACAGATGACGACGGATATTACCCAATTGTCGTAACCACAATCCCGTCCCGTTTTCATCGAATGTCACTTATCGAATTAGACTCATCACCGGATATGTACAATGTACTTTTATGAACACGAACAACACGACGGGTGCCACACATGGAGCAAGTTATGCATAACATTCCGGAGCAACCCCGGCTTTTGGTGGGGTTTGTATTGCTCAGTCGTACATATCTTTTGAGTTAAGCCAATTGCAACTGATATTTATAATTTATTCTTATGTTGTGTTGTTACACCACTGCCCCAGGTTAGGGGAGGGTTGTGCGCTTACAAAAATGTTTAACCCCGCCAAATTCTTTATGTGCCTTTCCGAACTCAGGACCATGTAGTTCAAAGGTTGTCGTTGGTTCATGTTTCGCATATTAGTTTTTTTTTAATTGTGTTGTTATAAATTAGAGCATTAGTTTTTTCCCGTTTGAATTGTTTCGTGTCGGGGCCATATATGGTATGTTGAAGGCCGTACGATTTCCTATAATTGCTTGCATCCACTTCATTTGAATTCTTGTGAACAGTTTTCTCATTGACAACCAAACTACATCTCCTAATTTTTATCTAGATTTCTATGTTGTGTTTATTTACTGTAACATTGTTGGTCTTTTGGTCGTTTTTCGTTTTTCGCCTTCGTTTTCGAATTGTGAGTTTGAACATCATTTCAGTATCTTTCGCCTTTCTTTTAGAACACTGGAAGAAATTTATCTTTACTATTTGTATACAAATAATTTAAA